TATGTATGTATGTATTGATTGAAATTTCACTTAACTTTTAAGGGATTATTTGGAAAGTATAATGCTAAGCCTTATTATGATATATATATATATATATATATATATATATATATATATATGTATATATATATATATATATATATATATATATTAGCTGTTTTTACATGATGGCGGATGTTATAGGCCCAGGACATAGAGTTGATGGAGTCGTGGATCCACCACCTCCTGTAGGCTTTGGTCACGCACAACACGAACAAGATGGTAAGTCATATTATGATATATTTATTAGATATTTTTATTCATTTATTATAAGCTATCGTGACTAACATTTTTAATTATATTTTTCAACTGACCTTGCTTAAAAAAAGAAGGGGTTTATCAAAAAAACATCCAACTATCAAAGTTGATACGGGAAAACAAGAGAAATCCCCTAGATTTGGATTTCGACAGATAGCTCACATTTTCCCCTGCTGTAAAATGTGGAAATATGTTTACCCATGAGATTGAGCAATATATGTGGCAGAACATCCCTTTTAGCGTATGTTGTTGGGATAATGTTTCCCCCGCTTTAAGGAATACCACAATCGTGCATCTGAAGGTAAATTATTTATATGATAATATTTTAAGTTTATTTGTGATTGCTATTTAATCAACTTACTTTTTTTTGAAATTATAGAGATATTTTGATTTGGATAAGCTTAACTTGGATCCCCAACATGCTCAGTTTTTGCATAGCATTGATGCGAGTCTACAAAGAATTTGTAAAGGCCGGAAAACTAAAGCACATACTTATTTTCAGAATGTCAGTAGGCTTGTAGATATCCCAAGGGAATTAGCCAACCCCCCAAAGGGTATGTTACCTGAAAATAGGCGCACACAGTCGAATTTAGAAAGTATTTGGCGGCAAACAAAGGAGTCAGTGCACAACAAAAAGGTTGTAGACAGAGGGGGATTGTGCTCGTATAGCAATGCCTATTTCAAAGAAGTAAGTTATGATATAGTTAACTCTTTATTAAAAGTATAATTAATCAAAATTTTAATGTTAAATACGACATCAGTAGACTCGAAGCGTTCCATAAGGCTAATATTGATCGTCAAGGGATATTTGGCGGTCCTACAGTCGAGCAACCATATGTAAGTGGTTAACTTGTATTTTCATATAAGTGTTTATATATATATGTGTGTTATATGAAATATGTGTAGCATGTATGTTTATGTCTATTTGGAAAGTATAATGTTATAATGAAAAAACGAAAAAAAAGAAAACAAAGTAGGATGCTATAATCATCATGTCGTTAGCTTGTACTTTGTTTATATATTCCTACGTTTAGTTATAGTACCATGTTATGACGGAAAAAAAAAAAGATATAATGCTATAATGTATATAGAATGTGTAGGATGTATGTTGTTTGTACATTTCATATACCGTTGTAAGTTGTTGGTCTAACTTATAAGAGTATGTTGTTTTCTTTTTAGTTGGACATGCTTCAATCAATGTTAAAAATGTTAAAAAACTGGGCATGTAATGCCGCACTTGAAGAATAGTTTCGGTTGTTGCCACACAAAATGAAACAGGAGGAAAGGAGGAGAGTAACGATAAGGACTAGCTACTTTTAGGATTTTCGTTAAGTTTTATTTGTGTTAGGATTTGTAGACTAGTATTTTGGATATTTTGCATTATGTTTGGATGAGTATTTTGAACGGATGTCATTTGGGTTAATATTTTGGACGGATGTTGGATTATATCAATATCATATTAGTTTTTATAACTTTTTAACAGTTTTTCTAATTCTAATGTTAAATACAAAAAAAAAAAAAAAAAACAAAAAAAAAAAAAAAAAAAAAAAAAAAACAAACAAAACAAAACAAAAAGCAAACACAATTATCGGCGATGCCTTTAGTGCCGACACTCATGTATTAGCGGCGACAACCATTTAGCGGCAACACATGACATTAGTGGTGACATACCTTTAGCGGCGACATATAACATTAGCGACGACTTGGGGAGTATTTGCTGCGAGCCTGCGAGGCATCATCAACGACCTTTTAGCAGCGACAATCCACACTTTTAGCGGTGACACATGTCGCTGCTAATACTCGCATTTTTTATAATAAAATTTATTTAATTAAACGTGTTGAATGGGTTGAACTCATTCATTTAAATGAGTTAGAAAACCTAAACTCAATCCGCTATTGGATTAAAATTGGCTGATTTGGTCATGTTTTCCCAACTCTAATGCCATTGTAGTTGTTACTCTGTTGCTATTTAAAAAGAAAAAAATGATATATTTATCTAAAACTACATGTTTTCGGTACTTCTAAAAAATCTAATCACAAGAAACAAATCAAATCCATACTTTCAGTATCAACAAAAACAATAAACAGAAATGCAAAAAAATTCTAACAGAATCCTAGAACGAGTTAGGTGGGTCGTCTTTTGTTGCATTAAGTTCTTTAAAAGGCCATTTATTTATTGACGAAGACAAGAACTCAGACTCTTTACATTTTCCTTGATGGGTTTCTGCGGACTTCTAACGTTTCTTTGATGGATTCATGTTTGATATTGTTCACATTCGTTTTGAGGACTCTCATGCATTTTCCGTTTTACGGGCTTCCATCACTTTTTGTTGCGTCCTCTCATTTATGCAAGGCTCATACCTAAAAAAAGGGTAAAGCAAACATAATTAATAAAGTATTATAGAAATTGAAATAGTAAACTATTTTACTTATTTTACCAATAAATAAATAAATACTACGATACCTGGTATATATACATGATATATTTGAGTCTCCATATTTTCTCTTCTTCAGCTCGACAAGGCAGTGGCCTTACCACAATGGTAATAGTCACCATCTTTCGCATGGTTTTCCTTCTTCTTCAATTGAGTGGCAACCTTTGCAGCAACCTCCTTGCATTTTCCATGTCTTCCTTTCCCATGCAATTTTTTCTTCACATATCCATCCCTTTTCTTCACATAAAGTGCAATTCTAAGAGGAAATACAAGTTTTCTAAGAGCTTTGTATCATAGTTTAGAAAATTTCTTCTTCACTTTTTTTTCAGTTTTTTTTTTTTAATTACAATATTTTCTCAACTTTTTCCCCAACTTTTGTATTTCCTCATATACAATAGCAAATAAACTTTTTTCTTTACTTTTGGATTGCCTAATATACATTAGCAAACCATTTTTTTTTAAATAATTGTTTACAAAAGTTTTGTTTTATTATTTCCACGGATTTTAAATCATATTTGTTATATTCTCAAATCCAAGTGTTCCGCAATCAACGGGAAAAAAATTTCTAATGTATATGACACAATATGATTTAAATTTGAGGAAATATTAAAAAAAATTTGTAAGATATTATTTTTGAAAAAGTTGGATTGATAATTTATATTAGGCAATGAAAAAATAGGAAATTTTTGTTTGCTAATGTATATGAGGTAATACAAAAATTCAAAAACATAAGAAAATATTTTCAGAAAGAAGTTAAGAAAAAAATATTTTAAAATATTACAAAAAAGTTTTTAAAAAGTTGTGGAAAAATAAATTTGTTAAAAAATAAATTTAGGGTAAATTTGTAACTAAGTTTTAAATTCGGACTGAATTTGTAATAAAATTTAAAACTTGGGTCAAAAGTATAAAACTTGAAAGATAATGACCTATTCAACCTGAAAATGAGGTAACCATGCGGAAAACATGAGTTAGTTACCATTTTAAAACATAAAATCGATCAGTTAGCAATTTTAGTACATTTTGAAAAGTTAATTTACAAAGAAACAATGATAACCCAATAAAGTTATAAAAATGAGCATAATTTTAAAAATTATGTGATTAAACGAGCTCAAAACTAAAATTTAAGTGATCAAACTAAAAGTTTAATGACCATGTATAATAAATATAAAAGTGAAGTGACTTTTTAAAACTTAAAATGAGTTAAAATGACCAAATATTCTCAAAAAAGTAACCAAAAATAACTTAAACCTAAAAATTAAATATCAATTTCGTTTGACCCACACGTGGTGTATTGCATTATAAGCATTCCACACACATTCAAAATTACACCACTCGAAACCACACCGATCGACACATATACATATACTGATATACATACACATACTCATACATATACCCAAGCACACACAAGCATATACAAATTCATATACACATACATATTCTTTTGGATTATTCCAAATAGTATTATAATGTGATACTATGTTTTGGTTGTAGTGTTTTTCTTATAATGGTAAAATATATGATGATTTTGTAAAACATTTTATATATATATACCTTTATTAGAATTAGAAAAGCTTAAAAGCCCTTAATTTGATTTATGTTTATAAACAATCAGTGCAGTTTACCGATATAAGTTGGTAAAACATGCTCTTGCAAACTTCCATGGTTGGTAATAACAAACAAGCTAATATATGAAAGCAATTTGCGACGTTTTCTCAAGAATTACCAACTCACGGAAACATACATATGACATATCAATAGTAGACGGAACTAAAGGGAAAATACTAATCTAGTTTTATTTATTTTTGTATAAGAAATTCATAATAATTTACTTTTAGTTTTTTCTGCTATAGAATTGAGGTTTTATATTTTTTCTGACTAAAACAGTATACATTCAAAATCTAGTCAATTGTAGTGATATATATATTTTCAAATTTATATTAACATCTTATATTTAACAATAGTAACAGAGAAAGTTGTTTTGTACACAGATAGAAAATAATTACTACAACGGAGGAAATATTTTTGGCACCAACCACAGCCAATCTACCAATTCGTTTCATTTGCTTTCACACAAAGATCACCCACAATATAAAAATTATTGCATGTGTAAGAAGACATCTGGAACGACACAATATAAGGTAAAAATATATTAAAGACTCTTCTTGTATTAATTTATTCAAATAACATTTATTTCATATATATGTGTATATCATTATATCAATTATATATCATTTTTCTCTTTTCACAAGATTAACTCAAAACCAGGCAGTGTGGGAAATGATGGCAAGGGGAGAAATGGTCAGGAAGGTGGCGTTGATGGTGGTGGTGGTCTTCTACTGCCTGGTGGTGCAGCCACCACGAGCGGTGGAAGGCCAGCTAAGCTGTCCACTGGTGGTAACCAGCCTCCTACCTTGTGCCACCTACCTGACAAGTGGAGGTCCGGTATCCCGCCACTGTTGTAGCGGTGTTAGGTCGCTACAAAGTGCCGCCACAACCACCGATGACCGCCAGACGGCTTGCCAATGCATGGAAAAAGCCGCTGCAATGCTCCCGGGAATCAACATTTATAATGCTCGAAGCCTTCCTGCCAAATGTGATGTGGATGTAGCCTATGATATCAACCCAGACACCGATTGTTCAAAGTATATTATACATATCTTCTTTTAAATATGGATTATTCATAGATTAATTGAACATTTATTGTTAAGTAACTTTATATTTGGATGTGTATGAAGGGTGCATTGAGGAAATGGATGCGGCTGAAGAAGGACGTAGAACAATAGTAGCATAAGAAGATACATATGGAGGAATCGTTGTAGTCTTGTAGATCGATATATGAGACTAGTTAGTAGCATAATTGAGAGGAATCATTGTAGACGGATATATTGGTGTCTTTAAAAATTAAAAAGGTTGAAAACTAATGTGTGAGATAAATTTTTGCAATGACTAAAAGTTTGTGTAATCAAACCTTAGTGATTGTTTTAACATTGCTTTGTCTTTAGTTGAAGTTACAAAAGAATGTATGAGATAAATTTGAGTAAACTTCACTCCTTCTGGATCACGAGAGGCCACATTGAACAAATTCCGTAAATAAGATTTTGAATTACTTTTCCTGGTTCAGGAATAGTTCTGATTTGGAGGCAGAGTAGGACTCTACCTTTTTGGCGTGTTGGCCAGGGACCCAGATTCAGCAGAAGAGCAGCACAACAACATGATTCCATTAATGTTGGAAGTCATGCCTCCAAGAGCGATTGTCTCCAGAATGGTTGAAACAGATAAGCTGCAAATTGGGTAAACAAGAAAGAAGTAACACGAAGTCCACTGTAAATCAAAAACATATGAGTATATGAAAAAAAAATATTTTTGGTACTTTAGCACAACAAAATTTGGAGAATTTACACATTTAACCACCCATATATTTTTTTTCGTGTGGAGTTAGTCCTTAAAGTTGGTATTTACCTGTTAAATAAGTGTTTGACTCTCAAACTAAGAACATCTCCAACCCATCATTTCTTTTCCTATTTCTTCCCTCATTCTTTTCCAACCCTAGTTCATTTTCATCTCCATTTTTTGAGATATGAATATATGGGGATACTATTCATATCTCCAAAGAAGGAGGTGAAGTTTGGTTGCTAATTTTAGTCCCTTTTATTTTTATTTTATACATTTCTAGTTTATTTTATCTAATAATTATAATTTAAATGCAATATTTAATATTTATGATATCATGAATATACTAATTTATATTAATTAATCATAAATATAGAGTTTAATTAGTAGAGGGGTGTATTTGACAATATATATAAGTTATAAAATGGAATATTCTAGGAATATACTTTTTATGGTAAAAAATAGGGTAGAAAATGGAGTAGGGTTGGAGATGAAACATCTCCCTTCTTCTCTTCAATCAATTGCATGATATAAAATCACACCCCTTCTCTTTCTTTTACTCCCTCCAATAAATCTTCGAGTCTCACTCTTCCTTCGTGTTTTTTAATTTCACTTAGAGAAACAGATGAACATGTGGTATTTGGTGGTTTGAATTGTGGTGAATAGGGGCCGATTTCTTTGGAAGTTGCAGATGGGTATGGATTTTCCCTCTTCTCCCTCTTGTTGTGTTCTTTTTTTAATTACAGGTTTTGTATGGTTAATATGATTATGGAGGGTGAAGATGGTGATGATAAATATCATATGTGGTGTTGGAATGAAGGGTTGTTGATGAACAGAGCAAGGACTAGAAATATCGATGGTGGTCAGGGCAATGTCGATAGTGCTCCTCCTATTTCATGATAAATGCTTTAAGATAGTTTCTTGGATTTTTCCAATCATTTCATTCTTGGATATGTTGAACAATTCCAGATGGGATTTCACGAGATAATGCATTTGGGATGTCAACAACTTGAAGAGATATCAACGGAGGAAGTAAGAGCACCATACATTTTAGTGTGAGATATCAATGATCAACGCTTGCAGATTCAGAATCTATGACTGCAAATCTATGTTTTTCTGGTTTACCTAATGCAAACGAAGTTCTAGTGTTTTCGGATATGAAATCAAGATATTTAGGTGTGGAATTGATATTTGCATATCCCGTGTTCAATATTGAAAAAGTTGGTCTTCTTGAAAATCTACATTGATGTCGAAAATGTACCTTGTCTCCAAATTTTGTTGTGAATGGAGATGGTGGATGGTGGTGGTGGTGGGAGATTATTTTTGTTCTTATTTTTGGTTTAGGATATGTGCCAAAAGGAGTATTTCATATGTGGATTAGTGAGAATTTTTTTTTTGTTTGTTATTTTTAATTTTCAGTTCAACAAATATAGCAAATATACCGGTTTATCAGGTTGTCTAGCAAAAAATGGTGTAATTGAAACAAATTTTTTAAGTTTAATGCCTAATTGTAACCTCCCGAAACTCAGGTAAGCTTTATAACCCCTCTACTTTTGCAATTGTCAAGAATAGTCCCTTAAGTTGAGCACTGGACTTATGAGTACGCTGGGCGTAATCAGGTGTACACCGCGCGTACTCGCACGCTTATTTTGGACGCGAACTCACTTGGGTACGTTGGGCGTAATGCGCCCATATGCAAACCTTAATTATGGCTTGTGCACTATAAAAGGAACGTTAAGTCCTTACCCCCAGCCACCATACTTCATTGAGTGAGCCGTAAGAGAGCAGAAAAACCCGTTTTGAGCTTGTGTGTGTGTTCTTAATCTTGAAGGTGCCTTCTTAAGGTGAAGAAGGAGAAGAGGAAGTCAATGTTGGAGCTAGAAGTTTGAGAGCAAGAGTAGATCCGAGTTCTGTAGAGGTTGGAGCTCCTTTTTGAGGTACAAAGCTCAAAGCTTTCTTTGAATTTCATGAGTTTTGTTTATGAACCCGTTTTTAGGGTTTTTGGTTCAAAGGTGGAGACTTTTTGTGGAAAGAGTCTCCATAAGCTTAGATCTGGCCTTTTCCCAGTGTATTATGTGATGAAAGTTCATAAAAATCCAATCTTGGTCGTGGATGTTGAGTCATGCATGAGATATGGACTTAATATGGAAGGAGGAAAGGTGTTTTGAGGGTGTAAGGGCCTTTACAGCCATGCAAAGGCTTAAGGGTTCCGACTTTATGGAATAAGAGGTTCTGAGGGAGTCAGATCTAGAAGTTGGTGAAGTAGCTTAACCGTTTAAGACCAAAATCCATAAAGTAGTTGAACTGGGACTTACGTTGGGCGTAATCCTAGTACGCGCAACATAAGGGATCTTGCACCCCGATTCTACGAAGGCACCGGGTACGCCCAACATACATTCTTGGTACACGCACCGTAACCCAGAGGGTTGACTTTTGTTGACTTTTAGGGTTTGGTCAACTTTAGGGTATTTAAGCCATGAAAGGGGTAAAATGGTCTTGTACCCTCCTGAGAATGATAGGAAAGGAAGGAGTCTAGCCTTTGGGAAATGTATTAATGTGAAGTGTTTGTTATGATTAGGCGGAGGCTAGACCCGATTCACAGAGTGCAAGATTATCCGAGATACCGAGGTGAGTCTTCTCACTATACTGTACCTGGAAGGGTACCTATGTGTGACTAGAAGGTCTTGTATGATATGATGTATGTGCTATATGCGGTTATGTGATATGTATGTGTTATGTATGTTATGTACGACGAGGACTGAAAGGTTAAGATGACATTTATGTGTTATGTATGTTATGTATGATAAGGACCGAAAGTCAAGATGATATGGACCGGAAGGTCAAGAGGGTACGGACCGGAAGGTCGATACGGGTAGGACCGGAAAGTCTACCGGAGTGCGAGATGGAAGTCCCCTGAGACACCTGGATCGGAAGATCCCACAGAGTATGGCCTGGAAAGGCGTATGTGTGGTATGTGATATTTTAGGGAACTCACTAAGCGTTTATGCTTACAGTGTTATGTTATGTGTTTCAGGTACTAGCGACAATCGCGGGAAGGCGTCGGCTTGACTCGTACACACACCGATGGATTTGGATATGTTTTGATCTTAGGATGTAATGTTATGGATTGATATGTGACACAAATGATATTTTTATAACTATTATGAATGAAAGTGTGATACAAATGTGAAAATTTGTTTTGAAAATTTACGTGATTACAAGTTGGTATTAGATCCTTGGTTTGAGGGATTCGGGCGCATATTCGGATGAATCTGAACTCAAACTGAGGAATTGAGAAAAAATTTCATAAAATAAACAATTTTTCTAAAAGAATAAAAGGTTTTGAAGAAGACAGAACGGAGCAGTGTGTACAATCAGCTAGCGCCCGAACGGTGATTTCCCAAAATACTCTTACATTATGTGTTATGAGATATGATTATGATATGATATGCATGCTAGAGTTGGCTAGGTATTCATAGTAGGACTAGAGTGGCCTGATTTTTTGATGCCTTAGCCAAGGAAGGATTTTGCTGCTATGTGATGCTTGAGAGTGAATAGGTAGCAGCGTGGAGCTCATGAGAGATCTACCGAAGGGTAGCCTATGCTAATGAGATGTAGAATTACTTGTGATTTGGGATCCAAGGAGGAGGACTTGGGATGAATATTGATGCGTTGTAATCGGTAGTATAAGGGCCCGTACTACCGAAGGTACTGTATCAGTGCATAGTCTAAGTAAGAATCCTTTGGGTACTGGGGAACAAGTAGGAATGTGTTATCGAGTGTGATTATACTCGAGCGGGTATCTGATATTTTTATGTTGTATTTTAGAGACATCATGGTTGGGACACGACATACACCTGGGAGCAGTGGTGTCAATGATAAGGAGATCCATCGATTGATTGATGAGGAGGTGGTTGTTGCCATCCGGGACGAGATTCTAGAGATGTTCGAGGACATCAAGACCACATTGATTGAGACCTATGACGAGCGATATGCAGTAGTGACTGAGGTTGCGACTACTGCAGCTAATGTTGTTGTTGCTGCTGCTAAACCTCAGGGAGGTGACTCGTTGTTGTTTTGGGAGTTCAGCAACACGAAGCCACCAGAGTTTGATGGGACGTACGACCCAATTGCTGCAATGAGGTGCATCTCTGATATTGAGGGATGTTCTACACGTGTACTTTCCCGAAGCACTTGAGGGTGCGGTTCGCTCTGAACCAGCTCCGCTTGGGGGTAAAAGATTGGTGGAATTTTGTGACGGAGAGCTTCACTCTAGCAGAGATTTTTGAGGTGACCTGGGAGAGGTTTAACGCCATGTTCAAAGACGAGTATGTTCCCCCGGTAAAGAGGGAACGATTGATTCAGGAGTTCTTGACCCTCAATCAGGGTACTGATTCTGTTACAGTTGTTACCAGGAAGTTTCATGAGAGGGCGATATTCTGCCCTGAGCAGGTGTCCACCATGCAGGCACGCATGAGCCGATATTTGGGCGTTTTGAGGAGGGATATCCGAGAGTTCATATCGAACTCGACTTACCGGACATTTCTTGAGCTTCAAGAAAATGCCCGGAAGAGGGAGATTGAGTTGGAGATGCAGGCCAGGGAGGCAGCTGAGTCTCAGAGGATGGATCGGCGGCCGGCACAGTCTCAGCCGACAGCCAAGTGGTCCAAGCCCGCCGATTCGAGATTAGGGGGCCAGAAATGCCGCACTTGTGGAAAGTGTGGCAAGGGACACGATGGGGTTTGTCGATCTGGTGCTTGCTACAAATGTAGCAAGGAGGGGCATATCGCCAAGGATTGGCCCCAAGGGATTTATGGTATGCTTTCACGGCAACCAGGCGGGTCACTAGAAGGCCGAGTGCCCACAGTTACGTCAGGGATCAGCACAAGGATCTGCACCTACTGCTAAGGTTACTGAAGTTCGGATGGCAAAGGTCAAGGCACCGAAGCCTCGTGGGAGAGCCTTCCAGTTCACAGCGGAGGAGGTCCGTGCAGCACCCGATGTCGTGGCTGGTATGTGTTCTTGCCCTTATTTATGTTAAATATGAAGTGTTGTGCTTATATTATGATATACGTAGGTACTTGTGAATTTTGTACCTGCTTTGGTGTTAT